ATTTTTTATATATGTAAAATATTATTTGTGGATTTAAATAGATACCAATTTTTAATTTGAATTTAAATAGTTGGAAATTTAAAATATATTTAATTTATTAAAGGTTATTGAATCACAACAATTTTAATTTTAAAAGTTGTAGTAAATTAATTATTTTAATTGTGTGTGAAATTGATAATAATAATCAAAAATGGAAATTTTTTATATAAAAAAAAAGATAAACCCATGGGTTGTGATGGATTGTGAATGATAAAAATATTTATTTTTTTTTTTTATTTTTTTTTATTTTTTTTTTTTATTTTTTTAATTTTTTTTTTTATAAAACTTTTTTTTAATTTTTTTAATTTTTTTATATTATATTTATAAACAATATATAACGATAGAAAAAAATGGTAATACGAATTTACATTTAATTAAGCAACAACCCATTCTCCATTCCCAATAAAACCAAATAACACACAATCCTTTAAATATATATAATTAATCAATAAATATTTTTAAAAATTTTATAGGCCACTTGCGTTTTACCAGATGAAGTTTTCGAAGAATACAAAAAATATAAAAATATTAGAAGCCCAAAAAACACTGCTATTGTTTGTAAGTAATATATATATATATATTATATGTCAATTTATTGTTTTTATTTTTATATTAATAATAATAATTAATTTTAAACAGTTATGATTGACCAAAAGAATGCTCTTTTCAAAATCGAAGAAGTTTTTGAAGATATGTCATTAGAAAAATTACAAGATGAACTTTCAAACTCATCACCAAGATATATTGTTTATATTTATAAACACACCCATCCAGATGGTCGTCAATCATTCCCAATGACTTTTATCTATTTCATGCCAAAAGGTATTTCACCAACTGTTGCCATGACATATTCAGCCAACAAACAAAACCTCTTTAACAAATTAGAAGTTCAAAAATCATTTGACGCTGATGATGTTGAACAATTAACTGAACCATGGTTAATCGAAAGATTACGTAAAAACTAAACTAAACAAAACAAATCAAAACGAAAAGAAAAAAAAAAATTGTAAAATTAATAATCAATTATTTAATATTATTATTTTTTTAAATCAAAAAAAAAAAAAAACACGTTGTAATTTATTTCAATTTAAAAAAGAATAAAAATAAATAAAACAGTAAATTAAAAAATTTAAATTTTAATTATTGTTTTATTAAAATATATTTAAATATAGCTTTGCAATTATTTTATTTTATTTATATTTTTTAATTTTTTTTTTTTTTTAATTTTTTTTTTTAATTTTTTTTAAAAAAATTCATTTCATTTCATTTCAGTTTTAAATTTAAATATTTAAATAAAGATATATTGATATATATAATGGCAGAATATAAAGGTTCTTCAGGTGATGGAAATAGAATCCGTATGTTAGAAAAACAAAGAGAAAAGGAATTAAACGAGTTAAATAAAAAGAAAGAGGATTTAAAAAAACAAAGTGCATTTTCGATAAATGATAAATTTCAATCGGTTTCAGATAGTTCAGGTTCATCAACACAGTTTCAATCGGTTGGTTTAATTTCAGTTCATGATTTTAATAAAAATATAAAGAAAAGCGAAGAAAATATACAATCAAAAAAGAGAATATCTCAAAATGAGTATGTTATTTAAACTTTATAAATGTTTTAAACCTAGTTTTTATTTTAAATACTAATTTGTTATATTGTTAATATTAGAAAATCAAGTGTAAATAAAAAAAAGAAAATACAGCAAAAAAGTAAATTATCATTCGATGTTGAAGATGATGAAGAGGACGAAGAAAATAAAGAAGAAAAAGATGTAAAAGAAGAAAAGAAAACAGATGAAAATAGTGATGAAAATATAGATAGTGAAAATAGCAACAACAACAACAACAACAATAATAAAAAAGTGAGATTTTTTGGTAAAGACCCAACAGTAAATACAGACTTTTTACCAGATATAGAAAGAGAAGAGGAAGAAAGATTAGAAAGAGAAAGATTGGCAAAAGAGTGGTTAGAAAAACAAGAGGTTATTAAAGCAGAGGAAATAGAAATCACATACAGTTATTGGGATGGTTCAGGCCACAGAAGAAGTTTAAAATGCACAAAAGGAACTACTATAGAAAAGTTTTTAGAGGCTGCAAGAAAAGAGTTTAAAGAGCTAAGAGGTGTTACTGTCGATCACTTAATGTTTATTAAAGAGGATATTATTATTCCACACGACTATTCATTTTATGATTTAATTATTTCAAAAGCAAGAGGTAAAAGTGGTCCATTATTTAAATTCGATGTTCACGAGGATGTTAGAGTAATGAATGATGCATCTGTTGAAAAGGATGAAGTAAGTATTATTGTTATTATTTTTTTTGGTATTGTTAGTATTATCAATTGGTATTAATTTTTTTTTCTTTAGTCCCATGCAGCAAAGATGGTAGAAAAGGGATGGTACGAAAGAAATCGTCATATTTTCCCAGCTTCAAGATGGTGTGTTTACGAACCCGGTATGGAATTTAGTAAATATACCATATCAGACAAGTTATCTAAATAAAATAAGAAAACTAAAAAGTTTATTTAGAAGAAACAAATAATTTTTTTTTTTATCAAAGAACAAGACTATTTTATTTATTTTCTCATTTTCTAAAAATCTTTATTTAATTATTATAAAAATCTAAAAACTTGTTTTAAAAACCTTTTTTATAAAAATAAAAAATAAATAATAAAAAAATAAATAAAATGTTTTTTCTAAATTTATTTTTCTTTTATACAATACATATTTTTTTATTGTTTTATAAATAATATTTTTTTAATTTATCGTATAATTTTGGTTTACCACTAAAAAATCTAATTTTATGTTTAATTTCAGTGGAGTTTAGAAATTCATTTAGATTTGATTGTAGATCTGTATTAAGATAAATATGTTCTATTGAATCTGGGAAGGGTAATTTAATAGTTGGATTGGCTGAGGAACCTTCTAATATAAGAGTTTCAAGTGATGAACCTAGAGTTTCGTTTGATAGTGTTATGATGTGACGGTTTGAATTTTCTATAATGAAAGCTCTTAATTCTAAATATAATAGTTTTAAATTTGGAGGGAGTGGAGATTTCGGATTATCACCAAAAAGGAATACTGTAAAAGTGTTGTCTAGTTTTAATGATTTTAACTGTATTAATCGCGTTAAACTTTGTTTTAGAGTATCTTCAAATTTGAAGTTATAATTGCAACATATTTCTAAGTTTACTAGATGGTTAAATAATGGAGATACACATAGATCTATGGGTGATACTACTTTGAAATAACATATCGATTTAATATTTGGAAAATTATTAATAAAATTGTAGTGTGGGTTTTGTGGCATTGAAAATAACCTATTTCTTATTTGTAGATATTGTAAATTTAATGGATTTTCAAATTTGAGTGATAGATGAGATGGTAAGCCATCAAAATTTGTTATACTAGCGGGAAACCCTCTATATGCTTCAGGTTTTTTCACAGCGGTTGATAGTGATAGTTTTAAAGTGTTAAGTGTTTGAGGTAATAGATCAATATCAATGGTTATTTTATGAGATCTTGAAATATCTAAATAGGTTAAAGACTCCAAATTTCCATCAAGATAAAGTGGTTCACTATTTAAAACTAAAGTTTTCAATGATTTAGCTAAAGATTCTTTAAAAGGTTGAATAACAGTATAAGGTGATATTTTAAGTTTGATACTTGTAATACTGGGGGGAAGATTTTTTAAAAATTGGTTGTATGTTCTTGATCCATATCCTCTAAGTGTCAGTTTTCCAAGATCGATTTCCTTTAGTTGTTTTGGAAGATGAATAACTGAATGATTATACCCAGGAACTATTTTTAAAGATTGTAAGTTCTTTGGCAACATTCCTTTTTTTATTTCATGGGAATGTTCATCCATTAATGTTAATTTGTATAGATTTGGAGGAGAGTAGTCGTTATGTAAAATAATATTCCAATCAGAGAATGATATTGTTAAATGTGTTATTCCATAGTTTTCATTTAAATTATATAAATTTTTATATCTATTTATAATGAAACCGAGGTTATTTTTAATTTGGCTAGAATAGGTATTGGTTTTTAGACCACAAGTTTGATATAGATTTATGGTTAAAATTTCTTGAGGAATTTTTAAATATTTTAAAGTTTCTGGAAATTTTAACATATTTAAATCTATAGTATGTGGATTAATGTTTACACCCAAACCACTACAATCACTACAATCATAACACCCACTTTGAAATATTTTTAAACTTTTTGTATTTGGTGTTAAATTTTCCGAAAGCTTGAAAAAATTTCCAATATCGTTTGATGGTACTATTAATTCGATTGTTCTTATATACTTCTTTTCTTTTGAACTATAAAAATCTTCATATTGATTAAAACATTTTAAATAAAACACAATATGATTGAAATATCTTATATAATAAAATATTTTTTTTTTTAAAATAATATTACGATATATTTTAATTAAAAATAAATCCCCTGATTCCATTTAAACTATATATATTTTTAAATTTATTATTTGATTTGTAATTAATATCTTTATTAAATTAAAAAAAAAATTTAGTAAATACAATGAATTTAATTTAATTTTTTAAAATTTAATAAATTTTCCAAAAAAAAAAAATAAAAAAAAAATAAAAAAAAAATAAAAGATAAAAAAGGAAAAAAAAATAAAATTAATTAATAATTTCTAAAAAAATAAAAGAAAATAATTAATTTTTTTTTTTTTAAAAAAGGAACTCTTGTCTATAAAAGTATCATATGATTTACTCAGAAAAAAATTGAACCTATCTCGTCAATAGTCAATTATATGAAAAAAAAAATAAAAAAAAATCTATATAATAAAAATAAAGATTTTTAAAAGAATAAATTCTTCTTACTATATAGAATTATGGATTTGTTATTATGGCATTTTCTAAGAGGTTTTTTACTTTTTTAGTAATTTTTTTTTGCATAAATTCGGATTAAAATTTTTTTTTCTCATTCAATAATTTGTTCATTTTCATTAAACAAATAATTTATTAGAATTTATAAAATTTAAAAAAAATATTAATTATGAATAAATTATTACTTAGTTTATTGTTTATTTTTTTATCCATACATTTAATATTAGTTGTTGGAGATAAAAGTGGTTCTACCTCTGAATCATTAGGTAGTGATGGTTTAAATGATACCACCACTCCTCCAAAAGCCAACTCCACAACAACCACCCCCAAAACCACAACCACACCTATACCAACTACTGGTAACAACACCCAAACTAGTTTCAATTATTCATGCGGACCATATACATGCGATTCTAAAGTCGAAGTATGTCAAAGTATTTATGGCATTAACGATGGATGTATCCCAAGAGAAAAGCTAGACGTCTCCATTATAACAAAAGAAATCAACTCATGGTCTGAAAATAACAATAAAGAAAACTTTACTCAATATGATGCCATTATTCAAAATAATGTAAATAGAGATATTAAACAAATCTATGTTTATATTGATCCAAAAAAGTTTATTCTAAGAGATAACTCCTCGCTCTGGAATATGATACCAGATACAACCAAAGATAACCATTTAATATTACCAACGTATCAAGAAACTATTAGTGCTGGTAAAAGTTTCGTTTTTGGATTTATCATAGAAACACCATCTGAAAAATCCTTTAATTTAACTGTTAATCAAATTATTTTTGCTTAACATAGTTAAAATAATATAAAATAAAATAATAGAATTATTTTTATTTGAAAACAAAAAAAAAAAGTTTATTTTATTTGTTTTTTACTATTATGAGAGGGGCTACTGCTACTATTATATGTATTATATGTAATTATTCCTAACAATCTACAAATTTCATTTCTTTCGTCCTCACTTAGTTGATTACTAAAACGATCGTATAATATTTTACCTGCAGCCATACCATATCTATAATATGCCATTTTAATCTTTGGAAATGGTTGGTATTCATCTGACCCAGTTAGTTTTTCAATAGTTACTTGATTCCAAGGTTCGTGTAATGGACTTTCACATATAACTGACCCCTATGTGAATATTCAAAAGATAATATTAATTAGTATAAATATTTAAAATTTTATTTAATATTTAAATTACTTACTCTTTCATAACTATTATTAAAATGATTATTCATATTATTTGATAATAAAAATAAACTACTATTCATATTATTATTGTTGTTATTATTTTCATTGTTACTATTATTGTTCATATTATTATTGTTGTTCATATTATTATTATTATTCATATTGCTCATGCTACTTTGATAGTATTGGCTATTATTTGGTATTAAATATTCTCTTTCGTCACCTTCATTGTATCCATAGCTATGCTTTAGCTGGCTATAGTTGGTTGTTTTGTTACTAATGAAATTTCTTTTTAAAATTAATGTACATAAGAAAACAAATAATATAAAATCGATTGCTAATATAAAGGTGTTGCAAATTAACGAAATTCTCTGTTTCTCTTCAACTGATCTAATAGTTGGTAATAAAGTGGACGGTATAATAAAGATTTCTTTTTCTAAAATACTTGTAACCTTTGACAGTTGAAAATGGGTCCTAGTTTCATAAATTATTGATCCTAACGTCAATACCAATATTATTAATATTGTTAAAAATATTATTATGTTGATCCAATAGTATTTTATAAAAGATATAATTTTTTTAGTTTTTGAGATATTATTTATATTATTCATTTTTTAATTATTTAATTATCACTATTATTATTATTATTATTATTTATATATATACAATTTTTTAAAAATAAAAATTTAAAATAAATATAGAAAAAAAAACTACTTTATTTAAAAATAAAAAAATAGAAATGAATTTTATTTATTTTATTTTATTTTATATTATTTTATTTATTTATTAAATTTATTTATATATTTATTTATTTTTATATTATTTATCATTTAATAAATTAAATTAATATTTTTATTTATATAAATATAAAAAGAAAATTTATTTATGAAGTGGGAATGATAATGTTAATGAAATAAAATAAATTATTATTATATTTTCCCACTATTCACACAGGTGATAAATAAAAAAAATAAAATTAATTTTATAAAAAATTTAAATAAATTATTTTAAAAAAATTTTTATTTTTTTTTTAAATATTTGAGTTTGATATTTTTGTCTGGTAAGGTGTGGAAGTGTTATTTTAGATTTTTTTTTTATTACCATTTATATTTTAGTATAAAATATATACTGGTTGTCAAAAATAAAATTACGGTTTTTTATAAATTTTTCATATACGCAACTTTGATCAATTTTTTTAATTTTTATTTTAATAAAACACAAACTCCAATATTTTTCATCAAAATCATTAAAAAAAAAAAAATAAAAACCACACACATCTTTTAATAAAGTCATAATTATGTATTTAAATAATAAAAAATAAAAATATCTTTTTTTTTTAATTTTTTTTAATTTTTTTTCAAATAATAATAATTTGGTGGATTTGTTTTATAAAATTTTTTTTTTCATCAAATTTAAAATTAAAAAAGTAGGTTATTTAATTTACAGTTCATAGACTAACACAAAATGTTACTTTTTATTTTGGATAATTCATTTTTATTAGCAATTATTTTCTTTTTAGGATTTATATTAATTCATCAAAAGAATCATAGATTAGGATTCTTTTTTGACAATGTAGTTTTATCAGGTAATAATTAACAGTCATATCGTCAATAGAAAAAAGAAATAAATACTAATATAAATATTTTTTTTTTTATAGCATGTGGAGGTATAACAATGGCATTCACACTTTCATCAATCAATGGTATAAATGAAAGATCACTCGATTTACTTTTTGGATTAATTGTTTTAGGATGTTCATTGAAATCTCTTTACCACAATTCAAGAAAATATTTAATGATTGGTTATTTCTTACATGCAGCTTGGGATTTATTACATCATGGTTATTTTGGATTAGCTACTAAAACTCCATATTGGTACCCAACATTCTGTATGCTTTACGATTTAGGTGTAGCTCTATGGTATTATGGCGGAAGAAGATAGGGTAAATTGTCAATCAAGATAATCCCGAATCAAACAATACCCCACAACACATTTTAAAAATAATATAAATAAAAATAATAACGTATTTATTACAATTACAAAATCAAATAATGTGCTGCATTATTATAAAATTTTTTTCATGATTTTATTTTTTAATTTAAAATATTTGCGTTAATAACAATAATTATTATTATAGACCAAATTAGAAATTTTATGCAACATATTTAAAGTTTTCTATTACAATGAAAATAATGAATTTTTATTTCTATTGCAAACGGATATACACCAAATCAATTAGTAGATTTATTAAACCCAATTGTAAGTAGCATCATTATCTATGAATCATCTATTCACCAGTTCAAATATTTGTAAATAATATTAAAACAATATTTTTAGAAAATCTGGTTCATCATTGATCAATTAATCTATGGTTTGATTTATTGATAATTTATTATTTATAATAAAATTAATTTTAAATAAATATAACCAGTTTTAGTAATAAAAAAAATAAATTAGTGTGTGTTCCCACACAGTATTTCTTAAATAAATTTTGCCGCTTTTTCAAATAATCTAAATAATTCAAAAAAATAAAAATGAATTTTTTTAATTTTTTTAATTTTTTTTTAAAGTTTTTTTTTTTTAAAAAGATCCTCTTTATTTATTTGTATTATAATAGTTATACATAGATAAATATAATCATAGAATAATCTTTTTTAGTGTGTGAATTTTGTGTTTTTCACTGTTATCAAAAATCATATAGAAATATAATTTTCTTTTAAATTTAATTATTTTTTTTTTTTTAAATTATTTTTTAAAAATTAAAAATTTTTTTATTTTTTTTTATTAATTCACACACTCTATTATAATTATTATTATTTGTATATTAACAACAACAATAGCAACAATAATCACTCCAATTTCAACAATAATCAGAACACAGTTATCGTTTTGTAAAAAAATTATTTTATAAAACAATAATGGAATACGAAAATGACCAATTATATCATTGGTTACAATTAGCAAATTTAGAGTCATTTTATCCAAATTTTGTAAAAAAGAATGTATCCTGTGATTCATTTTTATTATTTACAATGCAAGATTATGGTAATATTAAATTTTAGGTTATATTTTTAAATTTTTATTTTAATAGATTTCTAATTATAATTTATTATTATTATTAGGTAATGTTGGTATTACATCATTACAAGATAGAAAGAAATTATTCCATTTGATTCAACAATTAAAAAAACAAACACCATCACCCTCTAATGTTACACCCTCAGCTACTCCATCACCAGTATCATCAACATCATCCATTTCAAGCGGTATCAAACCTCCATCATCATACAATGCTCCTTCAACACCAACATCATCAAATAATAGCAATGGAGGTATTAGTGTAATACAAAAAGCACAGTTACTTTTAAAACAAAGAGAATTGCAACAACAACAACAACAGCAACAACAGCAACAACCATCAAGATATCAATCGTCAGGTATTAATAGTTTAAATGATTTTGATTTATCAAGCTCAACAAAAAAGAGTAATTTAGATGATTTTAATTTTGATCAACCTCAACAATCACAACAAGAATTTGAGTTTGAGGAAGAAGAATACGAAGATTATGAACAACAGGAGCAACAAGAAGATTACTACCAAGATGAAGAGCAAAATGAAATTGACGACTTGGAATTAGATGAAAATGATTACAGAGGTGTTTCAGATGAAGAACTCGAACCAGTTGATGGAAATGTTATAACCATTGAAGGAACAGTTCAGGAAGAAGATGAAGAAGATATCGAATATATTCCAACAAACGAGAGTTTAGTAAATAGATTTAATACATTAAATATAAAGCAACAACAACAACTCCAACAGCAACAACAACAACAATTCCAACAACCAGCCCAACAACCTATTCAGCAACAATATCAACAATATCAACAACCAATTCAACAACCTATTCAACAACCTATTCAACAACAACCAGTTCAACAACCAGCTCAACAACAATTTAATTTTAATACTACAGGGTTAAATCAAGAACAAATTAGTTATTTCCAACAACAGCAACAATATCAACAACAATTACAACAATTACAACAACAAAAAGAACTTCAAATTCAACAACAGCAATTACAACAACAATTACAACAACAACAGTTGCAACAACAGGAACAACAAAGACAAAATGAAGCAAACTTCTTTTTAGATATGAATGAATATGGCCAACGTATCCGTGTTTGTGTTAGAAAAAGACCATTGAATAAAAAAGAACTTGCAAAAAACGAAAAAGATATTATCGAAGTTGTACCAAAGAAAGATTTGCTTGTTAATGAACCAAAGTAAATATTTATTAATAGGTTATTCATGATAATTATAATAATTATTATTATTTTTATGCTAATACATTTTTTTTTTAAATTTTATAACAGAATTAAATTAGATTTAACAAAATATACAGAAAAACATAAATTTGTTTTCGATGAAGTATTTGATGAAACTTCAAATAACTATCAAGTTTATTTACATACAGCTTATCCATTAGTAGATTCAATTTTCCACAAAGGTAAAGCAACATGTTTTGCATATGGTCAAACTGGTTCAGGTAAAACATTCACAATGATTGGTAATGGTGATGGTATTTATGCATTGGCAGCAAGAGATATTTTCCATCGTCTAGAAACCTATTTTAAAGATCAATTGGAAGTTTATATTAGTTTCTTTGAAATCTATGGAGGCAAATTATTTGATCTCTTAAATGAAAGAAAGAAATTAGCTTGTAGAGAAAACGAAAATCAAAATGTTGTTATCGTTGGTTTGGGTGAAAAGCAAGTAAACTCTCCACAAGAGTTAATGACATGTATCACCGATGGTAATAAAATTAGATCCACAGGTTCAACAGGTGTCAATGCAGATTCATCACGTTCCCATGCTATTCTTCAAATCAGTTTAAAGAATATCACCACAAATAAACTTCATGGCAAATTCTCATTCATTGATTTGGCTGGTAGTGAAAGGGGCTCAGATACATACGATAATGATAAGCAAACTAGAAAGGAGGGTGCTGATATCAACAAATCATTATTGGCACTCAAAGAATGTATTAGAGCTTTAGATCAATCTTCTAAACATACTCCATTTAGACAAAGTACTTTGACTCAAGTATTAAAAGATAGTTTTATTGGTAACTCTAGAACCGTTATGATTGCAAACATCTCTCCAAATAATTTATCATCTGAACACACTTTAAATACTCTTAGATATGCCGATCGTGTTAAAGAATTGGGTACAAATGAAGCAAATACAAATAAAAAATCGGTTGCAACTTATAATATTCCTGCTCCATTACCTCCACCCGACCATTTAAAACAAAACTTTACTTTACCAACTTTAGACTCTTTGCCAACAAATAATAGTAATACAAATATAAATAATATAAATAGTATGGGTAATTATGAATCACCATCAATACCACAACCAGTTGTTAAAAGTAAACCACAAGCAGCTACACCACCAATTCCTCAACCAGTTATTCCACAAACACCACAACCAGTTATTCCACAAACACCTCAACATCAAAATTCTATTCCCCAAACACCAGTATCAGCATTAAAACAACCAATACAACCACAACAACCACAACCAATACAATCACAACAACAAAAAATTGATTTTGTTAATTATCATAGAAATCATGTAGATCAATTTGCTGATATTTTAAAGAAAGAATTAATTTGTATTAATCAATTCGAATCATCCAAAGGTGCTATACCATTAGAAAACTATATTAATTCACTTGAACAATTTTTAGATTCAAAACAATTACTTATTAATCACTTGAGAGGTTTAATAATACAACATCAACAACAATCACCACCACAACAACAAATTCCACAAACACCAGTTTCTAGTAACCAACCACCATCTCAATTACAAACTCCTTCCCAAAGAGAAAGAGCGAGAAGTCAACTTCAACAACCAAAAACTAGTTATCGAATTTAAGAAATAATATAAAAAATAATTTTAATTTTTTTCCCACATAATAATTAATAATAACATTTTTTAGATCACATGATTATGTATCAAAAAATGAATCGCTAAATTTACTTTTTTTTTTTTTATTAAAAAAAAAAGATAAAAATAAAAATAAACATTAAATTTAATTTTTAAATATACATAATTATTTTATTTGATATTTTATAATTAATTATATATATAAATTTTTTATTTAATATTGCACAGAGGATATAATATACGGTATATTAATCCTTATTATTATTTATTTTAATTTTTTTTTTATTTTCTAGTTATTTCTTTCATAACAGAGTGTTAATAATATATAGTGATTGTGATTGTACATTTTTCTATCGTGACTTAAATTATTTGAATAATTAATAGTTAACATATTATTCTTATTTTTATTTGAATTATCAATTAGATTATTGTTATTTGAACTATTGTCAAAGTTTTTAAGGTTTGAGATGGTATCTATAAAAAAAAAAAAAAAGTTAATATAAAAAAATTCTTTTATATTATGTTAATATATAAATATAATATTTACTGAAAATCATTTTGTTTTTTTTAATTATGTTGTTTTTTAAATATAAACTTAAAAATTTTTAATTCTTTTAATCTAGTATTTTTTTTTATTAAAATATTTTATTTTATTAATTGATGTATTTATTTTTTTTGAATGATATTAAAATTATTTTTCTTTTCTTAAATAATAAAAAAAAAACCAACTTCAATAATTAAATAAAATAAATAAAATAAATAAAATAAATAAAATAAAATAATATTAAATTTTAAAAATTTGTAATTTGTTTGATAATTATAATAAAAAAAAAAAATCGATATCAAAAACACATAAAATAATTAGATATTTAAATTTTCAATTCTCATAGAGCTAATAGTAATAAAATTTATTATAACCAATATATAATAAAAAATTTAATAATAACAACACCACTATTTTATTTATTTTAATTTAATAAATTTTTCCTTTATCCTTTTGAAAATAAAAAATAGGAAATCCATGCAAATATTGTTAAATTATATAATGAAAAAACCTCTTTTTGAAAAAAACAACTCTTTATAATCATAATATTGTTGATTTTTTTTTAATATGAAATTATTTATACCAAGTTAATATATTTTAAAAAATAGGGGTTAGTTTTTAGTATTTTTTTAATCACATAAAGCACAACTTTTTACCACCACAAATATCAACAACAATAGTATAACCCCTAATTAAAAGTTGTTATTTTTACAATTGTCAAATCATAATATTTAAAATTTTATTTAAAGTCTAAATGTTATTCTTTTATTTTTGGATAGGTTTAAAAAATATTAATATTTTATTCAATTTATAAAATTTGCACAATAATAAATCCAAACAAACCTAAACTTAATATGGTTTATTTGTTTCGGTACATCTCTTATGAAATGTTTTTGATTTTTTACAAATAAAAGTTAATTTTTCATAACAATTATGAGGGAACTTATTTGAAAACAAAAGATTGTTGTTTTAAGTATCCCATATTGAAAGATAAAAGATGAAATAAGATAATAATCATTTATTAAAAAATTGTTTAAAATTTTCTTTTTTCTTTTCTTTTTTTTTTATTAAAATATCATTATATATCTTATGTTTATAAATAATAATAAAATTCATTTTACAATAAAGTAATAATTTTTTTTTTTTCATCACATCAATTTTTTCTATTAATATTACCATTTGGTCCTTTATGTATTTTGGAAACTTATTATTCAGTTCAAAAATAAAAAATTGGAATTATTACAAAATTGTATTTTAGACTAGCAGAATCATTTTTTAATTTTGAATATTTTAATATATCTCTTTATTTATTTGCTTTTATTTATTATTTGTTTATATTCATTTGTTTTTATTTATTTGTTTTTATTTAATCTTTTAAATTTTGAGTTTTATCCCTTTTATATCTCCTATATATTCATTCAATAATTAAATAAACTTTCATATTTTAAATGTTGATATCATTTTTTAAATCAAATGTTTATATGTAGTTTTATTTATTATTTTTTTTTATTGCCTTTTTTTAAAATATCACCATCACTTAATTAATAATTAAAGAGCTCATGGTTATAACTCTTTATAATTTTATTATTTTATAATGATATCATTATAAATTGCCATTATAATTTTAAAAAATAAAAAATAAAAATAAAATTTTATTTTTTTATTAGTTTTATTAAAAATGTAAATTAAATTATTTTATTTTTATTTTACATTTTTTTAAATAAACCATTTACAACACTAATAATTTGTATAATTAACAAAAATAAATAAAAAAATCGAAATTATATTTTAATATTTTTTAAATATTCTCTTTATTATGTTTGTTTTCTAAAATTTTATTATTATTATTTTTTTTATTTTTATTATTATTATTGCTGCTGTTGTTGTTGTTGTTGCTGTTGTTGTTGTTGTTGCTGTTGTTCCTGTTGTTGTTCCTGTTGTTGTTGCTGTTGCTGTGTTTGTTGTACCTGTGGTTGCTGCATCTGTTGCACCTGTGTTTGTTGTGCCTGTGGTTCTTTTAATTGTTCATTTTCATGTTTATGATATTTTTCTTCCATATTTTTATCATCTTGTCTTTGCAGAGAATATAAACTTTGCTGTTGTTGATGTTGTATATTTTGTAAACTTTGTTGTTGTAATTGATGTTGATGGCTCAACTGCTGTTGTTGATCCTCTTGTAGTTTTTGTTGTTGGTTGAATTGTTCTTGCTGTTGTTGTTGTAACTGCTGTTGTTGTTGCAACTGTTGTTGATATCTTAAATTATTTTGTAATTGGTGCTGTTGTTGTTCAAAATCACTGGACTGAATTACACCCTGTACCAATTGCTGATCAATTGTTAGATTGTTTTTAATACTGTGGATACACCTTTGAATATAAATAAGAGTTGGTTTATCATTTGGCATAATTTCGGCGCATAATTGGAAATAGGATAAAGCCTCTTCATAACAAAGCCTTTTATAAAGATCGATACCATTCTGATACCAAGGTAATATTTTCATTTTAGTTACTCTTTTATCTTCCCTTTCACCATCTATAACTTCATAAATATTGACAGCTTCACTTTTACCTTTAACTGTAACACTATCGACCAAACGAATAACAAACTCATCAATAGAGGTGCCAATAGCTTCGACTGTGAACTGAGTGATTAAAATACGTGATTGATATTCTTTGCAAAGCTGTTCAGTTCTAGAAGCAAGATTGACTGCATCGCCCAAAGCTGTTGGCTCCATTCTAGTTTCTGTACCTACAATACCGATAATAGTCTTACCAGTGTTAATACCTATTCCAGTATCGACTGATGAAAACCTAAATCCGGAAACAGACATGAAATCTAGTGATCTCATCATACCAATGGCTGCTTTGACTGCACTAATTGCCTGCAATCTCATATCTGAATTTGGGAAAATAGCCATAATAGCATCACCAATAAATTTATCGATAAAACCACCCATTTCTGTAATGGCTGGCAATGCAAATGCCAAATAGGTGTTTAAGAAATCAATTACGTCATCTACCAGCATCTTCTCTGTAGTTGAAGTAAAATCCCTGATATCTGAAAAGAAAATTGTAATTGATTTGCAAATTGCATCACCCAAATAGACATTCTCCATACCTGATGGTGCAATTAATTGTTGGAACTCTATTGGAACAAATTTACTAATAACATTTTCTAAATCTTGTACCCTCTTTAGTGCCATCTTTGAAGTTTGGGGTGAATCACGAGAACCACTTGATAATATTGGAATACCAGAACCTCTTTTTTCCATTCTTGAACCACTGTTTGCAGTACTACTACTACTGCTGCTGCTATTTGATGAAGATAATAAATTATTACTGCTGTGTAGTTGTTTTTGTAGCTGTCTTGATAGAGGCAAAGATGATTGTGCTTGATTAAACAATGGAGTCGATTGGGATGATGACTGTTGTATGCTAACCAGTGAAGTTGGTGGCGTAATTTGTTGTTCCTGTTGGCCATCACTTGATTGTGGCGATGGTTGTAGCTGTTGATGTTGTTGCTGTTGCTGTGATGGAGGTAATATTGATTGTGGTTGCAATTGTTGGTCTTGTTGCAAAGATGATGGTGATGATGACGATGATGGCGAAGCTTTTTGATCCTGTGTCGATTCTTTTTTATATTCTGGTTGTATTGGTTGCAACTCAAGCGAATCGACAATAGTTGGTGAATAAGCTACAGATGACTGGTTATCATTTAATAACAATGAATTTGGTGAAGACTGATCACTTTTACTGACCTCAACCATTGGGCTACCATTAGGAAACAATCTAATTGGTGAAAGAATATTTGATTTTCTTTTTCTGTCGAAATCAACCAAAAAGTCCCTTAGGTACTGCTCTAAATTGCTAAATGAACACCATCCATCGAAACCATGACTTTTAATTTTTTCTAAAACATCTGATGGAATGGCTTCGCTGTGGTGCCAAATTCCAACTACCGGTAACTTAACGCGTCTTCTATGACTTAATTCTGTCATCGATGGTGAAGCATTTTGAAAAGAACCAATGGATGATCTACGGCCAGTTGCTCTTGATGGTGTGGAAATTGGTTTTGGAACAAAGATAGTATTTGAAAATATTTCGCCATGTGATTCACGGATTATTGAGGCACATTCAAAGCCATCTGTAATTTGTAACTCGAGATCTACAATTACCAAATCATAGTAATTCTTTTTAGAGAGGGAGATTAATGAACTACCATCAGTGACAAATGTTGAAAAGTAACCAAATCCTTCAATAACTTTTTGGATTTTAGATTGTGTTGCGAAATCAGACTCACCAATAAGCACCCTCATAATTGGTTTACCAGTTTCGGGCAATCTAAATGGAAAATCGATTTTGAACTTGAGGCGACTACGTTTTAATGGAATTTGAACATGGCCATTTAATGTATCGTGAGTTGATGTATCAAAAGTACCTTTGATTTGGAATATTTTGGCAATTGCATTAAACAAATTGGTGGGTGTCACAGGCTTGGTAAGAGTTGTTATGTTTTTGGTCTTTTCATTGTGAAGAATTGAATCTGATGGGATAACCATTAAAACGATTTTTACATCTGAAAACATTGGATTATCAGTTATCATTTGAATAGCCTCTAAACCATCGCAACCTGGCATATGGTAATCAACTAACAATAATTTGAAATCCTCCTTTACTGCCACAGCCAATTTTAATTCACGGATACCCTCTACACTACTATTAGCAGTTCTAATAACTTTGGATTTGAATATGGATTTGAAAATAAAACTTGTAGAATATCGAGATGTTTCATTATCATCAATAATTAAAACATTAAGATTTGATAGCATTTCGCTTGCTTCATCAGATAATGGCGTTTGGAATGTGTACTTTTCTTTTGGCTCGGGATCAACTAAAACTGGTAAACAAACTTTAAAAACTGAACCACCTGTATCTTGGTCACGTTCAACTGATAAATCACCTCCAATGGACTTTAATATTTTATTACAAATTAGTAACCCCAATCCTGAACCTTTCTTTCTTAAACTAGCGGAAGAATCCTCCCCAATAGATGGGAATGGTTGAAACATATTACAAATTGCCAGCTCCTCATCGGTCATACCTGGACCCGAATCAAATATTAAAATTTCTAAATAAATTTGTTGTTCTTGACCAACAATAGGTGGAGGTGGATTATTGGTATCATAGACCTCTTCTTTCTCTTCGTTAATATTATTATTTAATTTACCATTACTACTTGTGCCATCATTTTCATTATTAGATGATTTAGAACTACTGGCATCCTGTGTGTTACTGGTATCTGTGTTAATATTACTGTTATCATTTGTACCATTATTCAAGTTGCTACTATTATTTCCTTTGCTACTATTATTTAATGTTGATCGATTTGATTTTCTAATTATTATACCAATTTCACCTTCTTCGGTATACTTTATAGCATTTGATAATAATTGAAAACAAATTTGAGTTAGGGCAGTTGGGTCGAAAATTAAATTTAATGGTACGTCTTTATCGATACGATATACTAACTCAATATTGCTAAATTTAATATCTTTGCTTGTTCTCTCTAAAACATCCTCTAAGAAATCGAATATATTTACAGATACATCTTCACGGGATATTACACCTGATTCAATTGCTAATATTAACTTTGTATCATTTAAGAGTAACAATGAACGATTCGTTTGGTGTTGGATTTCGTTTAACTGCTCTACCAATAGCGATGGGATTTCTTGATCTGATGATTCTAGTTTTTGAAGTTTGTTTGAAATTTCTAATGTTGAGTTTAAAATCTTATCTACAAATCTTTGCATAAACTCCATTTTCTGCAATAACTGAGCTGTTCCATTGGCATATATTTTATTTACAAATGCATTTTGTTCACTAATTTGTGTTGATAGTCTACGATGATATCTTTCACCCTGTCTCTTCAATCTATGATATTTTTCACCACTTGCCAAAACCACATCTATAGCTAAACCACAATAAAATACTGTATATGAAATTACATTGAGAATATAAAAAATTCCACCACCTAGAGGATTTTCGCTGTTGAATCGTAAGCCAGAGGACAATGATAACTCTACTATATATAATGCTTGAGTAAGTTGAGGTAACATAGACGCCAAGGCCAACAATGTGTATGGTTTATTAACTTCCCAATGGTAAACCAATGATATACAAAATAATAATGTAATCAATATTAAATAGACCACCGCCGAGCTAACGAATTTCTTAAAGACCAATTGTTTTAAAATATGAAATGCATTCTCCATATAAAACTCTATATTTTCTTCGGATGAGCTGCTAGACTTTTGGTTATGTTGAGGATTCTGAACATTTTTATTAGGGACACCAGAATTGTTTATATTTGGGGTTGAAGTAAATGGTTTGTCATCCTTCATAAATAAAGCCAAAATGAAAATAGAGAAAAAGAGTAATACAACTATTCCCAACACTATTAATATTTGAACCAATGTATGAAACCATTCATTTTGTAATAGTCTTTTGTATAATGGTATAGGTGGTTGTTGTTGTTTTTGTCTTTGTTGTTGTCTTTGTTGCTGAGCCTGCTGTAACTTTCTTTTTTGTCTATTCCTTGGATAAAATGCAATAAAGCAACATATTAAAGTTAAAATTAATGAAAATACATTATTGATACGGAATGGCTCTAGATAAGGTTCGTTATATGACAATACATGGTAGAAACCAATTGCGGCCAAATACAATGGATATAAATCTCTTCTAATTGTGTAGTGAAACAATGCTGATAATAAAGACATAAATGAAATTATCCACTCCAATTTAAATAATCTACACCAAACGCACCCAGAATCTTTTGCTACCGGTATCCATAACAATGGTCCAACTGCTAAACAAGAAAACACCAGCGTAAAGATAAACAATATATAACTTAACCTAATAATATTAATTTTTTTTATTGTTAGTATCTTAAATAATGTTATCTATTTTCTAAATTAAAAAACAAACATACCATAAATGTATTCTATTTGTGTAGAATAATGTTGGAAACTTGTTTTCAAAATAACTATGCTTTTCATTTAATGGCGTTGGGGTTCGTGGAATGGGTTGTGGAATTTTTTTTTGCAACTCTCTTAACCTTTTTTGATTCTTTGAATTATATATACTTTCGAGCTCCTCGTAATCTTCTGCCTCGAGCTGTTCTTTTTCTTCGTCGGTATCGTTATAAAAGAACAAATCCCTCCTATCACTACCGTTACTTTCAAGATCCCCAATTTCGTCATCAATTGTATTAGATGATGAAGATTGCCTACTTTTTGTTGATGACTTTGATGAACTTGATCCCATCTTTTGAACAACTTCAGGTGGCGGTGGTCCAATGGTAGTAGTTGCACCAATGATATTATTACTATTGTTTGGGTTATTATTTGGACTAATAGAACTATTGTTCGATGATGAAGAGGATGAGTTTGATGCTGATGATGTTGATGATGAAGAAGATATACTATCACTTCTATCGCTCCTTAACGATTCATTCGATGACGGGCTAGGGCTTAAAAAAGATTGTTCACTATTTGGATCTATGATATTACTACTATTATCTCCATTTTCCGTTATTGGTTTTTTTCTATTTTTTAAATGATTCATAACTTTATATTTATTATTTATTATTTTCTATATTATTTATTATTAATTATTTATTATTTATTATTTATTTCTATATAATAATTATTAAATATTTAATTTTTTTTTTTTTTATAATATTATATTTTTTTTTTATATCTTTAAAACTATTAATACACAATTTACAACCATAATACTTTAAATAAAGTTTATTAATTATAAAGTAAAAAAATTTTAAACAATATTTTTTTTTATATTTTAATAAAATAAATAAATAAATATTAAAAAAAATGAATTCTCTTTTTTTTTTTTTAATTTAAATTAATTTTTTTTTTTTTTTTTTTAATTTAATAAAATTTTAAAAGGTGTGAGTGTATATGGGGTTAGGTGTTAAAAATATATTAATGTAAATATAAAATATATACATATATATGTTCACTATTATAACTAAAATGATATATATTTATTTATTTTTTTTTTTTTATAAATAAAAAATTATAATTATAAAAAAATGAAAAAAAAAAAAAAAACTAAATGATTTAATGGGTGTTTATAAACACATTTGTCTTTTTACAAATTAAGATATTTTAATAAATAGTGTGTGTGAAAATATAATTATAGATATAACAATACATTTTTAATTTCGCTTTTATTAAAATAATTAATTGGGAAATATGAAATCTAAATCCAAAAAAAAAAAATTTTAAAAATAAAAAAAAAAATAAAAAAAAAATAAAAAAAATATAATTTTTTTACATTTCTTTTTTTTTTTTTTTTTTTTTTTTAATTTTGTCTAATCAAACTCATATCTCTTAAAATGATAGAAAATGCTGTTTCTTATTATAGAAACAATCAATCAAAATGTTTTACAGTATTAGCGATATTTTTAATAGTGTATGAAATATTTGTAAATAAAGTTATGCTGGACTATGTAAAATGTATGTACACATGTTTCTAAAAATAAATATTTATTTGTATTTGTATTTATATTTATTTATTTATTTATTTATTTATTTATTTATTTATTTATTTAGATACAGAAATTGATTGGAGTACATATATGCAACAAGTTAAATTATTTTTAAATGGTGAATTAGATTATATAAATATTGAAGGTGATACCGGACCTTGTGTATACCCAGCTGGATATATTTATGTATTTAGTTTATTATTCAACATCACAGATCAAGGAAGAGACATTATGAAGGCTAGATACATCTTTGCAGGAATTTATTTAGTTTTCACAATTGTAGTATTTTTAATTTACAGTGAAGCTGTCAAAGAGAGTGAACAACAACTTAAACCAACTTTAAATCTAGCACAAAATAAATCAGCAACACCAACAATACCAACAATACCAACAACACCAACATCAAAAAATAAAAAAAATAACAATAATAGTAGCAACAAATATTTATATATTCCATTTTATATTATTGTATTTTTATGCCTCTCAAAAAGAATCCACTCAATTTTTTCATTAAGACTATTCAATGACTGCATTTCGATGCTAATTTTTTATGTAGCAGTATATTGCTTCATCAAGTCAAGATGGTCTTTAGGTTGCATGCTTTTCAGTATGGCTGTATCAATTAAAATGAATCTATTACTATTTGCACCATCACTGCTCCTCTTATTATTGATGACCTTTGGTTTTTGGAGAACCATCCCAAAACTAATGATTTGTGGTTTAATTCAAGTCGCTGTAGCCCTCCCATTCCTCAAAGAGAACTATGTTAGCTATTTAATTAGAGCTTTCGAATTCTCTCGTCAATTCCTTTACAAATGGACTGTTAATTGGAGATTTGTCCCCGAAGATATTTTCCTATCAAAAGAATGGGCATTATCCTTATTATTTTTACATTTAACATTTTTAGTTTTATTTTACTTTAAATGGGTTAAGTATGTATTTATATCATTATTATCATCTATCAAAAAAATATTAATATTTTTGTTTTTTTATTTTCTAAAGACAAGACGGTGGTTTATCTAATGTTATTAAAAGAGGTAATAAAAACCAAAACTCATCAATTCTTTCAACAAATTTCATTTTATTGGTTTTGTTCACTGGAAATTTCATTGGTATTACTTTCTCAAGATCATTACATTACCAATTTTATGTTTGGTATTTCCACACCATCCCATTTTTACTTTGGTCCGCTCCAAATATTAATATATTTTTTAAGTAATTATAATTTTATATTTTATTATTTAATGTAATAGGCAAATTTTCTAATTATTTTTTTTAATATTATAAAAAAAAAAAAAAAAGAATATTATTTATAGTCATCACTGAATATAGTTGGAATGTATACCCATCGACATCCATAAGCTCAGGTTTATTAGTTTTATCAAATGTTTATTTAATTATCTCACTTTATTTTTCACCAGTTCCAAATTCATTAAAACAATCAAACTCAACCAAAACTAAAAAAACAAATTAGGAAAAAAAAATATTCAGACGATCATAAAAACTTGTGTGCAATTTTTTTTCTAAAAAATAATTTTCGTTGGAATTTTTCCTTTAAAAAAAGAAAAATAAAATATTTTATCATATCAAATATTTATGCATATGAAATTCATGGATCAATTGTTATTTTTTATTTACTAAATATAATGTTAACTCTATCAATTTGGGAATTAAAAATACCTCTTTGATTTTTACCAGGTTAACTGAAAAAAAAAAAAAAAAAAAAAAAAAAAAAAAAAAAACACTAACTTAATTTAGAAAAAAATATAAAAAAATAAAATAAATAAATTTAAAAATAGTTATTTAAAAATAAATTTAAATAAAAATTATTAAAAAAACCAAAATTAAAAATATATATTTAAATATATAAATAAAGTTTTTTTTATATCTATTTTTTTTATTATTTTTTCAAAAAAAGTTTTGACTTTTAGTGGTGATGTGTACCCATATTAACTTTTTTTTATTTTTTTTAATTTTTTTTTTTAAAATTTTTTATTTTCATTTTTTTTTATAAAATTTTTTTTATTTTCTAAAATTTTTTTTTTATATCTTTTTCATTATAATTTTTTTTTAAAATTAATTATTTTCTCATTAACAAAAGAGTTTGGGAGGATATAGATATAAAAATGTCAGAAAAAACTATTAAAAAACAAACAAACAATAATAAAGGTGGTGAAAAAAAACCAGCCTCAGTACAAAAAAAAGACAGCAACAATAAAGATAATAAACAACAAAACAATAATAATAATAATAATAATAATAAAGATAATAAATTCCCACCAGATGCAGTTTATGATGGAATTCAAAAGAAAATTCAAGAAAAAAGAGATGAAATTGCTTCAATTAATAATCAATTAGAAACTTTAAAGACTGATTTAACCTCACTCAGATCTGAACGTAACCAATTAAAGACTCAAATTGAACAATTCTTTGAAGCCAGAAAGAATCGTAGCGTTGATCCAATTAAACAAGAAGCCCAAAATGCCAGAGATAAATTCAATGCATTACTTAAACAACAAGAAGAAAAGAAGAAATCATTAATTGCACTCGAAAACTCACTCACCATCAAGATTAATAAAGATTCAAAATTAGAAGATGTTCTTGCTTTAATTATAAGCAAAGGTCTTGAACTTGAAGAACAAATTGAAAACGAAATCAATCCAAACCAACAACGTATTCTCTTAAAGAAATCATCCCAAAATAACAGTCAAAAGAAATCAGTCGAAGAATATTTCACCGAAAAGAAAGAATTTGATTCAATTAAAGAACAAGTTAATGCCCAAAAAAAACAACTCGATGGCATTACTGCTCAAATCAAACCAGTCGAAGGTGAAAAAGAAAAGAACGACCAACTCATCAAAGGTCTCAAAGATAAACGTACTGCCATCGAAGCTCAAATCAAAGAAAAGAATGATAAATTTGAAGAATTAAAGAAGAGAATCGACGAAATTAAAAAAGACATTGATGTCGAAAGAGCTAACCAAGAAGCTCATGTTGTCAAGCGTAAAGAACAAAGAAAACAAGAAGCCGAAAAAGTTAAACAAGAAAGATTACAAAAGAAATTAGAATATGAAGATAAGAAAAAGAAAGAACAAGAAAGAAAGTAAGTTGATTTAATAATTTATTTATTTGATTCAATTAATATATATTAATTTTTATTTTTTAATTATTTTTTATTTTTCTAAATTAGAATCCAAGAAGACCTCTTAAAAGTTGCTTATGAAGCTGAAATGGGTCATTGCGATTCATTAACTGCATATTTACAAGCTCTTCAACCAAAAGAACAAAAAGATGATTCATCAAATGCCAATAAGAATGTTGCTGAAATCGAAGAAGGCTTTGAATTAATCAAAAAAGAAAAGATCTCAAATCACAGAGAAAACCCAAAGAAAAAGAATACCCAACAAGCCGCTAAACAATTACCAGAAGTTATCAAACATCCATTAGATATCTTCACCAAATTCGAAAAACTTTCAATGGTTCCACCACCAAAATATACCGATATTCCAGAATATCTTGAACAAATCAAAACTAAAAAAGAATATTACGTTAAGTTATCAGCCAAAGAAATGGAAGAAAGAGCTGCCAAAGCCAAAGCTGATGCTGAAAAGAAACAAGAAGAAACTGTTGCTGCTGCTTCACAAGACTCTTCTGAATCAACCCCAGCTGCTTCAACTCCATCCATTGAATCAACTGCCACAACCACCACCTCTGATAATACTACCACCAATAACGTCGAAGTTGAAGCCCAATAAAAATTTAATTATCATATAATTAATTTTTTTTATTTAGCTTCCTCTTTTCATTTTATAATTTTATTTTATATCATCCCATAATAATAATTTTTTTTTTTTTTAAAAACAAATTAAAAAAAAAAAAAAAAAAAAAAAAAAAAAAAGAAAAAAATAAAAAATATTTATAAAACACAAATAAATAAATATTTATACACACATTTATTTTTAATGTTTTTTTTTAAAAAAAAAAAAAAGATAAATAATCTTACCCATCTTTTTTTAAATATAATTAATTTAATTAACTCATTTATTTAATCCCAACACAAACAAAATATAAAATGAAAATTATTTATAATAAATAATTTTTTTCATTTTAAAACTAATTTTTTTTAATTTCAGTGTTTTTTTTTAATTTTTTAGTTTTTTAGTTTTTAAATAATTTAAAATAATTTAAATAATTTATTTTATAAATATGGGATGATTCAAACCAGTATTTATAATTATTTGGATTTAAATTTAGACATAAATTCAATTTTAAATTCAGAAGGAATTAATAAAGTTGGTTCTGATGGTGTTAAAAATATTGGTGGGGCTAAAAAGTACCACCAGTATTCCGCTAAGTATCGTCATTCATGGATATGCACAACAGATGATGGTTCCAATGGTGGTACAAAGAATCAAAAAGAACTCATGGCAACTTTTAAATATAAAACGATTAAACAAAATAGGGTAAAAGCTCAACCATCAACCATTGACCACTTGTTTCCAACTCTTCAATGCAGTTCATCTTTATATTCAACAAATGGTTCAAAAAGAGTTGTTAAAACAAAAGTTTTACCAAAAAAAGAAATACTTAACACCATCAACAATGATGGATGTCCATCCATTCCAGTTTCAAATGATCCACAAAATGAAGCTAAAAAGAAAAAAAACAAAAATATAGTAATTTTAGAAATTCTTGAAAAGTTAAATGAATAAAAGATATTATTTTTTTTATTTTATTTTTTAAAAGTGTGTTTTTTGTTTTTTGGGATGTGTTTTTTGGGATGTATTTTATGAAATAAAATTGTATATAAATTGGGCACAATAAAGCCAATTCTCCGGTAATTTGTTATGATAGGATATAAGAAATCACCGAGAAGATATACACCTTTTGCCCAGGGGAAACAAAAAATATACGCCCAAAGGGGGGCTCGAACCCCCGACCACAAGGTTAAAAGCCTTGCGCTCTACCGACTGAGCTATCTGGGCAATTAGTTGAAATTAATTTTTTCACTTTTTTTAGGCGCTTTAATAAAAAATATAAAATATATTCATTTAGACAATTTAGATATTTTTTGCAATTGTGTAAGCTTCTGTATAAAAGGGAATTTATTTATATTACATAAGTTTTATAATGGTTGTTTTACACTGTGCAAAGGAATTGATACAGTAGTGCGCAAAAGTTTTGACCCCTTTTATAAAATATTTTTTTATTTTTCTTCAATAGCAGCTGCGACCTGCAAGAGCTGTTAAGACTATTTAGTTGAGATTTCTGCAAAATACTACGTAGGGTGAAGCTTTATTTTTTATGTCATTTTAAGGTTATTAATATGATATAATAAAAATTAATAAAAAAAAAAAAAAAAAATTATAAAAAAAATATTTTTTAAAATTAAATATATGTTGATTGATGTTTTATAAAAAGGTAAAAAAATGTATTAGTGTTAAATTTTTTATTTAATTAAATGATTAAGTTTTATTCAATATTAAATGAGTGAAATTTATTATAATATGCAGTGGATTTTTTTCTACCTTTTTTACAACAACCACTTTTACAAAAATATAGAAATAATTTGTATTTTGTAGTGTATTATATTTACTTTTAATTAATTTACCATTAGCAATTTATTGTAGGGGGTTTAAAGAGTGAAATAAATCATTGTATTTGAGGTAAATAGAAATTTTGAAAAAATAAAATAATAAAAAAAATTTAAATTTTTTAAAATTAATTCTTTTTATAATAACAAAATAAACTTCATTAATATTATTTCATTTTTACAAAGTCTATAAAAACGGCAAATATAATAATTAATTTCACTGGGTAAAATTACAAAAAAATATGTTATTATTAATTTTAATTAATAATAATCATGATTAAATATTTTTTTACTTTTTTACCTTTATAATTATTTAAAATTCATATAGTTTTTTTAATTTAGCAAAATTTTTTATATTATATTAATTTTTTATACATTTTTTTTCTTTATTTTATTTCTTTGAGCTTCTATTAAAGTATAACAATTGTTTTTTTTTATTTTTTTAATAAATTATATTTTTTAAATTTTAAAATTTTTTTTTTTTTAAAAATTTATTAAAATTTTTTCATAACACTCACACCCACATTTTCACTCTTTGCATTTTATATAATTTATATACATTTATTTAATTATACATATACACATCTTACATTTTTTTATAATCAATGTATCACAAACCATATTTCATTAAAAAAAAAAAAAAAAAAAGTAAAAATGATTTTTCCAATAGTTGGAGCTATCTTCCTTTATTTATTTTTATTTTTTATCTCTAAATACTTCACCAATACCAACAATAACTCACCACCACAATCACAACACAGCCACAATCACCACCACAATCACCACATCAACACAATCAACACAATCAACACAACCAAAACGTAGTGCATCAATCCCTAACTATAGAAAACTATTTCAAGATATGGATGCATACGAAAAAAAACAACAAGAACAAGATGAACAAGATGAACAACCAGAGCCACACTCGCCACAGCCACAACCAGAAACAAAACGTTCTACATCAATTCCAAATTATAAAAAGCTATTTCAGGATATGGATGCATTTGAAAAACTACAACAAGAACAAGAACAAGAACAAGAACAACAACCACAACAACCATATTCAACTGCACAATCAACCAGCTATCCAAATTTAAATAAAAACCACTCTCGTTATAATACTGGTAGTGCACCATCAACATATCAACCACAACCACAACAACCACAATATTCTCATTCAACTACACAAGCAAATACCTATCCTAACTTTAATAAAACTCAATCACGTTATACTACAGGTAGTGTTCAATCAACCAGTCATAAACAAAACCCAAAGCCACCCTTAAATCCAAACCCACAACCATCAAGTGCACATTCTTTTAGCTACCCAACATTTAATAGGGATCAATCACGTTATAATGTTGCTGGTAATTCCACACCCACCAATTCACCACAACAATGCCCACAACAACCACAACAACCATTTAAAACATCAAGGGCAGAATCGAATTACCCAGCATTTAATAGTGCACATTCACGTTTCAATACAACTGACGGACCAAAACCAGTTTCCAACCGACCAACAACAAAGGGCACACAGATCATCAGAATACCCATCAATGAATAAAGAGCAATCCCGTTACAAGTGTGCTAGTTCAACATCAAATATTCCAGCTTTTAATTCTGCAAATAAAGAAAAATTAGATAGAGAAAAAGCAGAAAAAGAACGTGTTGAAATAGAAAGATTAGAAAAAGAAAAGATGGAAAGAGAAAAGTTGGAAGAGGAAAAAAAAGAAAGAGTCCGTGCAGAAAAGGAACGCGAGGAAAAAGAAATATTAGAGAAAGAAAGATTAGAGAAGGAAAAAATAGAAAGGGAGCGTTTAGAAAAAGAAGAGGTTGGCGAATGTTGTATTTGTTATACCCAATTAAACTCCGACAATTCTACCTCGATAGATTGCTCTCACAAATTTTGCTACAGATGCATCACTAAATGGTACCAAATAGAAGATACATGCCCATTGTGCAGAAAAACATTTTATTATATTCAAGTAAGTAATTCATACATTAATATTTATACATAATAAATAAAAAATATACTTATTAATTTATTTTATTATTTAATTGCAGAGAGAGGGTCGTATTGCAACAGATGTTGAATTGGATAGAATTCTTCAAAAATACAGTTCTGAAAATAATTCCGAAGAAGAGTCCAAAGAAGAGTCCAAAGATGAGTCTGAAGATGATCATTCCGTTTATGAATCAGATTTCGATTCAGATCATCGTTCCGTTTATGAATCAAATATCGATTCCAATGATCATTCCAATCATGATTCATCTTCTGTTAACAATGAAGAATTTGTTGACTCTATGGATCTCGATTAATCATATAGTTCAACTCTTTTGAAAAAAGCTCGAAAATGTACCATTAAATTCTGAATATCAAATAGAAAGCAAATTATTAAGGTAACAATAATGATTATCATTAAAATAGTTATAATTATATTTAAATATAAAAGAAACTAATATTTAATTTTAATATCTATATAGTTAAATTCTAATTCTTTATTATCCGAATCAATACGTTTTTTGTTTAAGATCTCTAATCAAACATTGGGTTTATGTTAAATAAATAGTCAAAACAAAGTGCACCATAATCATCATAGAATCCATTTACATCAACTATTATCACATTTCTCTTTTGATAGCTCGCAAACATATATTTAAATCACCGCTACCACCTCAGTACTTAAATGGAACCACCTCACAAATCACACTCAAAATTATAGTCCAGTAGTATAACCACAACCACAAGTTCAACTTTTACAACACATATCAAGAACATCTCAGTACAATTCACATTATAATTTTAATTATAGCCATTATGGCAGCAATCTATTCAAGTAAGTAAATTATCATAAAAGTTAAAATAAAAACAAAAACTTAAGAAAAGAAATCAAATAACTAACATATTTTAATTTAATCCACAGGCTCCAAGAAATTAACAATCATTCATCATTTGTATTATAAACTCTGCAAATTTCACTTCTAGATGAATAAATTTTAGTTATATGTAAAATTAAATTACTAAAAAAAATTTTAAATAAATTTAAATAAATTAATAAAAACCTTGTTAATATCATTATATTATAATGTAATAGTTAACAATAGTAATAATAATAATAATAATAATAATGATAATAAAAATAAAAAAAAAAAAAAATTAAATATATATATTTATTTTTTTATTATTACAAATATTTTATTTATTTATTTTTTTTTAATTAATTATTTTATTATCAGTAGCTTCCAATAGAACTGGTGATGTTTTCCAGCCATTGATCGATCAAAATAAACCTAAAACTAATTTTGAAGTTAGTGAAATTAAATATGGTCAAAATGGAAAATGCACAACAATAGTATGGCAGTGTAAAAAGAATAAAACATTTTATGTCCTAACCAATATTAAAAGAAAAAGAAAATGAACAAAAGAGAATCAAATATAAGATAAAAAAAAATCAATATGAAAAGAAGTTTATAACAACACCAAGAGTAATATGGTTATATCTTTTTTTTATTCTACATTCTTTATCTATTTTTATCTTTTTTAAAATAAAATTTATTTTTAGATTAAATCTTCCATGTGATACCAAAAAACGATACACTTTTCATTTATTTTAGTCCTATTTCAAACTTTAGTTTTTTATAATTATTTTATTTTTTTAATTTTAATTTAATTTTTTTTTATAAAAATTAATTTCATAAACAAAAAAAAATTAAAAAACTTAAAATTTTCCCCCATACTTAATTTTTTTTTTTTTATTATTTTTTTAAATTTTTATTTTTTTAAATTTTTTTATTTTTTTATTTTTTTTTTTTTATAGCTCAAATTTATTAAAGTTTTTATTAAACCTTTCTTTTTTTTTTTTTTGACATCATTAATAATAAATAAAACAATAATAAAATATAAATATACAATAATAATATAATTCCACAAAAAAACAAATAATTAATTAAAATATTATAATTATATAATTTTTTATTAATATAAATAATCAAAATGAAACATATAGAATATACAAAAAATAAAGCAGCTTTATCAGAGTTTTATCCAAGTTTACCAGCTAGGGGATGGTATAAAGAGATGGGGTTAAATAGTATTAATAGCAAAATTAAAATTATATCTTTAGATGAAAAAATAAAAGAAAACTACTATAATGGTAGTGTTAATAGTTCAAAGAATAATAGTAGTTTTTATAATAGTAATAGTAATAGCAATAGTAATAATAATAGTAACAATAGTAGTTTGGATGGCTTTAAACAATTTTTTCAACCACAGTTACAACAAAATCAAAACCAACAAACACAACCCCAACCACAATCACAACAAAATAAATTTCAAACTCAATACCAACCATATCAACAACAACAAGCAAAAAATAATTATAAAAATTATTATCAAACTTCAAATAAATCAAATGAATCTTTAACAAAAAAACAACAAAAACAAATAAATTCATCACCAAATGGCAATAGTTTTTCAATTTTGGATGATGATTGTTCCCTTTCGCCACCACTTTCAAAAGGATTCGATAATACACCCATTTCTGAAGGATTACTTGACAATAAATCGCCTGCTGAAACAGATGAAGATGATACATCAAATGGAGATAAAATTTCATTTCTTCAAGGAATGTTTCCTGAAATCGAAATCGAAACTTTACAATTGCTTTTAGAAGAGTCAAAAGGTGATGTTATATCAATTGTAGATACATTGGCTTTCAATAATTTGGATTTCAATGGCACCGAAGACGAAGAAGAAGAAGAGGGCGATAAATTTACAGGATATCCTGTACACCAAAAATCCCCTACATCACCATCTAGCAAAACTTCATCATTAAAAGTAAATACCACACCAATTTCATCCAGTTCATCTTTTAAACCATATCAAGAACCAGTCAAATCATCATCATCATCAACATCAATATCTCCTCAGTTTAGTAGTGATGCAGTAGCAGACGAGGATTTTGAACAATTATTAAAAGAAATTGAAAAGAATGACGAAGAGTTATTAAAGCAACAAAATGAACAGATTTTATTAATGATTGAAAAAGAAAAAATCGAAAAAGAAAGAGTTGAAAAAGAAAGGATCGAAAAAGAAAGAATTGAAAAGGAAAAAGAAAAGAAAGTTAAATCAAATGGCAAACAGGTCAAAAAGAATCAACACCAATTGACAATGGATTTTAATTCAACCGTTCAACATATTAAAGAGCTATTTCCAAAATATACCAAAAGAGAAATCACAACATTCCTTGATAGACATTCATATGATTTAAATAGCACAATCGATACATTATTATCATTGGAAACTATAGAAACACTTAACGTTAAAAAACCAACAACACCAACATCACCAACTAAATATAAAGATGAAAATAAAAATTCAACTTCACCACCACTTATAAAGGATATTTTGTCACCAGAGGCTACATTTGTACCACCAACTCCAATGCCAGCTGTAATACCATCTCCTCCACCAACACTATCAGTTAGAACAAATCAGTTACAACCACAATTGTTTAGTAAAACCAATAATAAATACCAAGACATTCAATATGTTGGTAGTTCAGGGTCATCTTTATCAGCCAAAGATAAAGAGAGATTCGATGAAAAAGATAAAACAGATAGAGAACAATCAGAATCCATTTTACCACTACCATTAGATTTTGACAGAAAGATTTTACAGTTGGCATTGCAGTTCCCTTTGGTTGAACAAGATATGTTGGAATCAATTTTTGCTCAAACTGGATTTAGAATTGCAGATACCATTTCAATAATTTATGATCTATTCCCTGAATGTAGAAATCGTAGTAAAACCTCAGTGTCTACATTTGCAAATAAAGTACGTGAAAGTGGTAGTTATAGTTATAATAATAATACAACAGGTAAAGGAAACAATTCTACAACAACTGCTAAATCAATGGTATATGAAATTTCACCACCAATGGGAAGCAAAGTAAATATTTTACCAACCAAACCAAATAAAGTTGAGATTTATTCAGGCAATAATGAAGAAACCGAATTTAAAAAAGTACAAAATCCACAATCAAAGCAACCAGCAAGAAGAAATCCACATCAAGAACATCTATTGAATCAAAAGTCATATCAAGACCATAGAGCCGAAGCTGAAAAGTATGCTAAATTAAGAAATGCATGTTTCCAAGCAGCTGCTAAAGCCTATATGAAGAATAAACCAGCTGAAGCAAGACAACTTTCTGAAGAAGGTAAAAGATATGATGAGTATCATAAAGAAGCCAATAGATTAGCAAGCAATCAAATATTTATGGATTGTAATTCTAGAAGTGGTGATACTCTTAGAATCGATCTTCATGGTCTTCATGTTGGTGAAGCTTTGGATATGGTGCAAAGAGCAATAGAAATACATGCTTCTGGTGAATATAGTGGAAATAATCGACCTCAAATACTCAGTATTATCACTGGTCAAGGAAATCATTCTGTCAATCGTGTAGCTAGAATTAAACCGGCTGTTGTAGCTTTCTTAAAGGAATGTAAAATCAAATATGTTGATAAACAGGGTGTACTTGAAGTAGATATAAACAGTTTAAGAAATTATTAGAAATATTTATTTATTAAAATAAATTGTATATTAGAAAACATTAAAAATTTTTTTATTTTTTATTTATTTTTTTTCGAATATTATAATTAATAGTTGACCAAAATTTTATTATTCTAAAGATTTTAAAACAAGGTTTGTATGAGCTGAACAATTTGTAAATACAATGATAACATTTTTTAATAATGAATCAGCAATAGATCCACGAAGTCTTGTAATAACATTTTGAAGGAATAGATCCATGAAGTCTTGTAATAACATTTTGAAGGTTAATAGTCATTCTTGGAATTGTTATCGATAACAATTAAAACTGCTGATAGACTAGAGCAATTTTCGGCAGATTCAATAATTTTACCAATGTTTATGTCATCTTGTTCAACACCACGTGTATCAGATAAACCTGGTGTATCAATGAAAGAAAAAGTTTTTGAATCTTTTTTAAAAGAATAGGTATTACAACTAGCAGTTTTACTCTTTGTTCTATGATAAGAATCATTTTCATTTGATTTTTGTTTAAAATTTTTTTTAAAAAAAAAGCTAAAAAAGATTATTTTTTTATGAAATATGGTTATTGAACTTGGAAAAAAATGATTCTATTTTTACCCACAAAAGATTGTTCAATTTTTTTAACACACTGTGGTTGGACAAAATATTAAAAAAATGATTCTATTTTAATCCACAAAAGATTGTTCAAACACAGTTTTTTAAAAAAATAAAACTTATATAATATAATCTAAAATTAGCGTTTTAAAACTGTTAATAGATTCATTGAAATAAAAGTTATAAAATAAATTTTTTTTTTTTTAATTGTAATTTATGTTAAATAAAAATGAAAAAACCAATTATTAGTATTTTCTTTATATTTTTTATTTCTAAAATATATTCACAACAAAGTAAATGTTTATTAAAATTCATTAAAATTGTATTTATTATTTTTGCTAATATTTTTTTTATAGGTTTGGTATATTACAACAGATCATATATTGAATTTGACACTGAATATCCAAGATCAACTAATTTCACCTTATACGATGATTATGATTGTAAAAATATAAAGGAAGTTTATTCAACTGAATGCAACACTGAAAAATGTGTTATTAAATTGGATGAAAATCAGATAAAAAACTTTTATGGAAATTGTATTCTAAGATGCTATATTATTCCTTCAGGCACAAGTTATTGTAAAAAACCAGTTGATACGAATAGCTTCATGTTTTCAATAAACACTTCTCTCTCAAAATTACCATCAACTGAAGGGGGTAAAGTTCAACTTACTGGTAATTATTTAAGAAATTATGTTGATGATTATTACATTGTAGAAGGAGCTAAATTAGGTATGGAGTTTAAGATTAGTGTTGATAAAGAGAATTTTGATCCTGAAAATTTAACTCTAAATTTTCCCCCAGGTTATGGAAGTTTTATATTGTCTCCATATTTTATATATAAAAAGGAAATGTATTTAAACTATGCTCCTCCATATATTTCTCAATGTAATTACAAAGATTCAATAGTCACTTTAGTCGGTTTGAATTTTTATATTAACCCGTCAGTAGCTCACGTCACTATTAATGGAATAAATGCATCAATTGCTTCAATAGATCATCGTTTATTAAAACTTAATTATGTTACTGAATATTCTCAAATATTAAATATAAATGTTACCATCGGGGATATTTCATTAGAAAATAGTTATACATTTGATATTAAACCACAACCTGTGTCGATTATTACAACTGTATCAACTTCAAAAATAATGGAGGTATAATTGCAATAACTGGAAGCTATATGTCATCATCTCAAACATCAAGGACAAATGTAACTTTAATCAGTAGTGATAATAAAAACTATAATTGTGAATATATTTCATCAACAACATCTCAAATCGTTTGTTTATTAGAACCTGGTGAAGGATTAATAAATAAAATTAAAATTAAAATAGATGAAATTGAAAGTACAACTGAAATAAATTTTAAATATGGTGTACCTCATTTTACATCATCAACTGCAATTCAAATTAATAGAACAAATGAATTTTCAATAACTGGTATTAACTTTGGTAATAATAATGAAATAAATGGTACAATTAAGCTTTTACTTGATGGTAAAGAAAAGAAAGGAATAGAAATTACATCAATAAGTAATGATGAAATTAAATTATCATTCAAATTACCAAATATATGTGAAACATCTGTAAAGCTATCAATTGAGGTTAATGATGTTATTTCAAATAATAATATAACAATAACACCACAACCTACATTTATATTAGCTCCATCAAGACCATTAACCAATGGATCATCATTGCATATCGATAAATACTTTTCATGTAAAGAGATAATTGTAAAACCATCTATTACAGTTGATAATTCTAATAATCACATTGATTGTACTTTGCTTTCAAATACTGAAACAAGTTGTAATGTTGGTGCTGGAACTGGTAAACATTCATTTAAATTTTATGTTGATGGTATTGAAAAAATCAATTCATTATTTGAATATGCACCACCAACACTTGTATCACATATTGTCAATGGATTAAAAACAATTACATTAACTGGTAATAGCTTTGGTAATGATTCATCAAAATGTAATTTAACATTTGCAAATAAAAATGCTACATGTAAAGTTATCAGTGATACAACTATTAAATTCGATGCAGATTCACAATATGATTATGGTAATGTTAATCTTATAATCGATAGTATTCCAATGTCAAATGAAAACTATAAAATAATGCTACCATCAATAATTGGATTGGTAAAAGATAATAATATTTCAACAAGAAATGGAACAGTGTGTATTAGTGCTTCAAGATTACCTGAAACTAAATCTGGTGTCAACAATTCAAATAATGTCACAATTGAAATTAAATCACATTTAAAAGATGGTACAAATACATTTAAAGATTATAATGTTTCAAATAATATGATTTGTGTATTATTAAATGATGGATATGTTGGTACATTTGATTTATCAGTATTCATTTATAATGAATTCATTTCAAAATATACATTATCATATAATAAACCATCATTTAATAATAGTTTAATTAATATTAAAGATGGTGGTAATAAAACTTATCAGTTTGAAGTATATGGTAATGAATTCGGTGAACCATTTGAAATTCATATTAATTCATCAAAAGGTGATTTAATAATGAATTGTACATTCAATATATCAATTCAACATAATAATATAATTATTAATAACGTGTATAAATTTATTAATTTTTTTTTAAAAATTTTTTAAATTAATTTTTTAATTTTTATTTTTTAATTTCATTTTTTTTAATTTAATTTTAATCACAAAAACAATATAAATAAAGGGTGTTAATCACACAGTTAATATTTGTATAAAGGTTTTTAATTTACATTTCAAAAGAGTCTTTAATTTATTTTGCAAACAGTTTAGGTATGAAGGTTTTATACTTTATATGTCTTATCTTTAAATATTTTATATATATATAATAGTAGGCGAAGATTATTACAATATACATAAATATTGTTAAGAGGATTTTTAAATTTTTTTTATTACAATAAAGCAGTTATATAATTAAGCTCAATATTTAAAATTAAAATAAATAAATTTAATATAATTTTTTTTTCTATAAATACTTCAAAATTTTTATTTATATATCAATATCAAATTTATTAATATATATAAAAATATAAAAAATAATTATATTTTAAAAAAATAAAAAATAAATTAATAAATAATTAATATATATAAATTAATAAATTTAAATTTATAAAAAATAAATATATTTTAATATTAATAGCTAAATATCAATGGAAGGAACAAATAAAAGGACCTATTACCAGAAGAAATTCAATTTAAGATCTAGACAAAAAGCTATCAACATCCCTATAACATTAGATTTCATTTTACAAATGGTAAAGTATACATATTATTATTTAATTTATTGATAAAAAAATTATATATCTTATTTTTAATAGATGGTAAATGTTTAGCAGCAAAAAAATATAGAGAAAAAAACAATCTTTCAAATGATACAATAAATACTCTAGATTATCACTTTGCCAAAGAGATAGTATAGAGCAACTATGATGAACCTTTAATTCAAATGCTTATTGAAGAAAAAAAAGAAACAAATACATATATTTCAAAGTATAAAGAAATCCAAAAATACTTACAACTCCTATTAAATAGTAACAAAAGTAACTTTAAAAAAGAAATAAAAAAAGAAATGAAGAATGGCATGATTGCATTCCGAATGAAGAATAAAGTTTGTTACAATTGTGGTCAAGATCACAACATCAATGCAATGAAAGAAAAAGTTTTTGAATCTTTTTTAAAAGAATAGAAATAGTATTTGACATTGTTAGAAAGAAATTTTATTTTTATTATTATAATGTTAATAATTTTTATTATTATTATGTTAAAAATGTTTTTTTTAATAAAATATTTTTCTTTATGTAAAAAAAAATTTCAAAATTTTGATATTAATTTTTTTTTTATTTATTTAAAATTTTTTTTACTTTGCTTTCCAATAAAAAATATCTTTTTTAAAAACAAAGGTAGAATAAGTGATTAAAAATTAATTTTTTTTGTAAATTAACAAAAAAAAAATATTCAAAGAAATTATATCTAGATCATTTGTTTTATCCAAATAAAAAAAAATCCTGAATATTTGGGAACAAATTGGGGATTTGTTTTAAAATATTTCAAAAAAATAATATAAAAAAAAAAAAAAAAATCTTATAAATAAATTTCATTGGATAATACTTAAGAAATCCCATTCTTTATTTAAAATTTTTTTTAAAAAAAAAGTTTAAAAAGATTATTTTTTTATGAAATATGGTTATTGAACACTCTATTCGAAAATTGGAAAAAATAAAAAAAACGATAATTTTTGAATTATAATTTATGAATAAACTATTTTATATTTTTTTATTTGTTATTTTTTATTTGCATTTATTGCACACTAATTGGTTTACATAAAGAGGTTTTTTAATTTGATAATTTTTTATGATCTTTTTTATCATTTTTGGGTGCTGAATTTTTTTTTTTGTTGTTCAGGTGAAAGTATTTTTTGGGCCATGGTAGTGAAACATGTTTTACATTGAATATTTGGACCATGTTTGATTTTTAATTCTTTATATTTTTCATTATCCAAATTAAAATTATTTTTGCAAGAAATACAGATTAATTTCTTTTGTTTAATACCACTATTTGGGTCTGGTAGGAATATTTTTTGGGCAGTGGCTGTGAAACATATTGAACATTGAATATTGTTACCATGTTTGATTTTTAATTCTTTATATTTTTCATAATCCAAATTAAAATCATTTTTGCAAGAAATACAGATTAATTTCTTTTGTTTGTTATTATTTATATCTGGTGAGAATATTTTTTGGGCCATGGTAGTGAAGCATGTTTTACATTGAATATTTGGACCATGTTTGATTTTTAATTCTTTATATTTTTCATTATCCAAAATAAAATCATTTTTGCAAGAAACACAGTTTATTTTCTTTTGTTTAATACCACTATTTGGGTCTGGTAGGAATATTTTTTGGGCAGTGGCTGTGAAACATATTGTACATTGAATATTTTTACCATGTTTGATTTTTAATTCTTTATATTTTTCATTATCCAAATAAAAATCTTTTTTACATGAAATACAGTTTTTTTTTTTTTGTTTATTAAATGGTACTCTAGTAGCAACATCAATTCCATTGGACTTTTGCATTTGGTGCATTTGAGGTTGTTGATATTGGGAACCTGTTGCAATTTTGATTTTATTTGGTGTATATTTGTTCTTGTTCATGTTTATTCCCATTTGAGATGGATATTTGTTCATGTTCATGTTCATGCTCATACCCATTTGTGGTGGAAATTTGTTCATATTCATGTTCGTGCCCTTTTGAGGGGAGAAACCAACCTTTGGGTTATTCATATTCTTTGGATTTATCTTGGCACCTTCTGGACCAAACTTGCTATCTGAACAAATATTATCTTGTGCAAAATTATTATTTTTAATGTAATCCTTTTTAATTTTTGATTCATCAATTGAAATATTTTTCTTTTTTGATTTTAACACTGATTCTTTGTTCAAGGTATTGCATATTTCTCTGATTACTCTAATCATTTCATCAGCTGATTTTCTTGCATCAAATGATGTTGAATTTTTTGCCTCCATTTCCATTTGAGTTAATGTTATTTGAAGTTCATCAACTAAATTAAAACCAGAACATAGTTTTTTCAATTCTTTACACGAGTATACAATTTCAGTGGTCATTTTTTTTAAAGTTTCATCTGCTAACTTCTTTGCATCTGAAAGTGTACTAATCTGGCCAGAATATTGGGTAGATAATTGTGAACTTTTCATAAATTTATCCTTCAAATCTTTTAGCTCTTCTTCTACAGTTTTTTCAACGCTCACCATTGTTTTTTTATCATGATAATGAACAGTATAAGAACATTTGCTTGGGCAAATACCACAATTATTACATCCAGACATTGCATAACAACCAAGAAAGGCATTGTCACCCATTGTAGAAATTTCTGATAAACGACCTTAATTTTTTAAATTAATATATATATTAAAAGAAATTTTTTTTACAAATTTAAATGTTAAGTTACTTACAATTGTCATGACAAACATGATTACATGTACTACAAATTGTACTATGATAATGAGCATCTTTTAATTCATAAGTTGCAACTGTTGTTTTTTTTGTATAGTTTTTAAATGACTCGACATCATTGTTTGCTTTTTTCAATTGGGCTTGATAAGAAGCTAGTGAATCTTGAAGCATTTGAAGATTACCAATATCTACTTTTGCTTTATGTAGAGTAGATTTTATAATCATTCTATGTTTTTTCATTTCCCCAAAATGTTTAGTGGAGACAGATGATAGTTTGGATACAGTTTCTAAAAGTCTTTCAGTGGTAATAAAAGAACGTTCAAATTCTTTTTTTAAAGCATCAATTGAATCTTCGTCCCAAAGTCTTTTATCTGAACTGAATGCATTGTTGTTCATATGAAAAATGTTATCGGTATTTACTTCAATTTCCAAAGATTCTATAACAAAGTTTCTTTCAAATTTATAACAATTTGTAAATACAAGGAAAATATTATTTAATAATGAATCAGGAATAGATCCACGAAGTCTAGTAATAACATTTTGAAGGTTAATAGTCATTCTTGGAACGGAGCCATTGATAACAATTAAAACTGCTGATAGATTTAAACAATTTTCGGCAGAGTCAATTATTTTACCAATGTTTATGTCATCTTGTTCAACACCACGTGTATCAGATAAACCTGGTGTATCAATGAAAACAAAAGTTTTTGAATCTTTTTTAAAAGAATAGGTATTACAACTATCAGTTTGACTCTTTGTTCTGTCATGAGAATCATTTTCATTTGATTTGAAATTTTCTGTGGCATCAAAAAACTTGGTTTTAATTGCAACTTTGATATTGTCTGGAATTTTTCCACCCAAAAAATAATTTGTTATGGTATTGATCAATGTTGATTTACCAGACCCAGTTTCTCCAATTACCAATATAGAGAAAGTATTTGACATTGTTAGAAAGAAATTTTATTTTTATTATTATTATGTTAAAAATGTTTTATTATTATAATGTTAATAATTTTTTTATTTTTTTTTATAAAATTTTTTTCCTTTGTTTAAAAAAAAATTTTTAAATAAGAAAAAAAAAAATATTTTTCCCCATAAAAAATATCTTTTTTAAAAAAAAAAGGAAAAATAAGTGATTAAACCTTAATTTTTTTTGTAAGATAACAAATAAAAAAAAAGATTTTTGAAAAAAATGTTTTATCTAAGATCATTTGTTTTGTGTAGGCCAAAAAAAAAAATCCTAAAAAATTAGGAAAAAATTGGTGATGATTTTCAAATATCTAAAAAACAAAAATTTTTTACAAAAAAAGAAAATCTTATTTAAATTCAGTAACCAAAATTTTTTTTTTTTTTTGATATCAAGATTTTAAAAAAATAATTTTTTTTTAATTTCAATCAACTACCCAAAAATTTTTTATTGGAAAAAATATCAAAAATAATAAAAAATCACTAAAGTTGTATTTTTTGAATATTAAAATAAAAATTAAATAAATTTGAAAATATTGTAAAAGTGGCCCAAGTTTGCCCACACATTTTTTATTTCAAAATTTAGTGAAAAAAAAGTTAAAATTTTGGTGGGTTTTTTTTTCAAATTTGGGCAAACTTGGTTACTCTTACAATAATTAAAAAAATAAATTTTATTAAATAAACAGTATACAATAAATAACGCTACTGAAACATTATTTGAAAAATTTATTTAAAAAGACAATTTAGGGAATCATTACCAAGATTATACACTACTATTTAATTACCAAGTTTATACACTACTATTTAATGTAAACGAATTAAATACCTAATTATCATGAAGAAATATAGTTAGAGTTCCAAAATTATCTTTCCGTTTATCTTTTAAAAAACCGGGAAGAAATTATCCAAAAATGACTATTTTTTTCATAAAAAATTAAAAATAGATAAAAGTGGATAATAAAAAATTAAAAAAAGGATCCTTTTATAAATTTATAAAAAAAAAAAATAGAATTGTTATAAAAAAATTCAAAAAACCCAATGTTGATGCAATCTAGTTATTTTTTGGGTCTATTTTATATTTATATTTATAATAATTTACTATTATTATTTAATTTTTTTTATCTAAAATAACTACCAACTTTTTTTTCCTTTGTCAATGACTCATTTCCATCTTAAATATATTTTTGTGGTCTACATAGATATTCAATGGGACACTGTATCATTTTAATTATTTTTGGGATTTGAAGAGTGTTAATATAAATAAAAAAAACAATTAAAATAAACAAATATAAGGGTATAAATATTCATAAAATTTAAAAGGAAATATATAAAATTAAAACAAGAAAAGGAAAAAAATTGGGTTATAACACAATGTTGGTGAAAAATTAGACTATTAAAATGATAATAACAAAGGTGATAACAACTATTTTAAATAAAAAAAATAAAAAAAATTATATTTTTAACAATAGTTTATTTTTATTTTTGACAAATTAATAGATTTAAATATCCAAATGAGTTCTTATGTAATGGAAGTTTTTAACTTGATAATTATTTTTTTTCTATACTATTTTCATCTTTTTTTTTCTATACTATTTTTTGATTTTTGGGTGTTGAAATTTTTTTTTTTGTTTTTCTCTTCATATTGTTTATTTATATCTGGTGAGAAAATTTTTATAGTAATTTTATCGTGACACGATTTACATTGAATATTTGGAACATTTTTGTTTTTTAATTCTTTATATTTTTCATAATCCAAAACAAAATTATTTTTACATATATTACAGTGTAAGGGTTTTCCTAATTTCTTTTGTTTGTTTTCATTATTTACATCTTTTGAGTGTATTTTTATAGTAATTTTATCGTGACACGATTTACATCGGATATTTGGGACATTTTTGTTTTTTAATTCTTTATATTTTTCATAATCCAAAAAAAAATTATTTTTACATATATCACAGTGTAAGGGTTTTCCTAATTTCTTTTGCTTGTTTTCATTATTTACATCTTTTGAGTGTATTTGCTGGGTAATTTTGTCGTGACATGATTTACATCGTATATTTTTACCATGTTTGTTTTTTAATTCTTCATATTTTTCAATATCCAAATAAGAATCTTTTTTACATTCATTACAGTTTATTTTCTTTTGTTTTGTTTCATTATTTCGATTTTTTTGTTTTGGAATATTGTATCCCTTAAAAATGCATTTATTACACAATAATGGTTCACCTTGATTAGTTATTTTCTTGAAATTATCTTTTGGTATTGAAAATGAGTTTTTACAAGAGGAACAAATGACTTTTTTTATTTTCTCTTGGGTGGTCCCTTTGTTTGATTCTTTATTTGAATTAGAAGTATTATTATTTGATTTCAAACATTTTTGACATTCAGGTTTTCCCTTTTTTTCAAGGATATAATCAAATGATTTTTTTTCAAGATAAAAAGCTTCACCACAAGTTAAGCAATCACATTGAATTTTTTCTTTTTCATTATCTTTAAAAATTTTATTTTTTTTAATTTTTGATTCATTAATTGAAATATTTTTCTTTTTTGATTTTAACTCTGATTCTTTGCTCAAGGTTTCACATATTTCTCTGATTACTCTAATCATTTCTTCAGCTGATTTTTTTGCATCAAATGATTTTGATTTTTTTGCCTCTGCTTCCATTTGAGATAATGTTATTTGAAGTTCATCTATTAAATTAAAACCTGAACATAGTTTTTTTAATTTTTTACATGATGATACAATTTCAGTGGTCATATTTTTTAAAGCTGCATATGTTAAGTTCTTTGCATCTGAAATGCTACTAATCTCACCAGAGAATTTGGTAGATAATTGTGAACTTTCATTATACTTATCCTTCAAATCTTTTATTTCTTCTTCTACAGTTTTTTCAACCCTTACCATTGTTTTTTTATCATGATAATGAACAGTGTATGAACATTTACTTGGGCAAATAGTACAAGTGTTACCACCAGACATTGCATAACAATGAAGAAAATCATTGCCACCCTTTGTAATAATTTCTTCTAAACCACCTTAATTTTTAATTAATATTATAAAGATAATTTATATACAAATTTAGAATATATATTTACTTACAATTGTCATGACAAACATGATTACATTCACTACAAATTGTACTATGATAAGGAGCATCTTTTAATTCATTACTTACAACTTTATTTGTTTTTGTAAAGTTTTTAAATGACTCGACATCATTATTTGCCTTATCCAATTGAGATTGATAAGATTCCAGTGAATCTTGAAGCTTTTGAAGATTACCAATATCAACTTTTGCTTTATGTAGAGTAGTTTTTATAGTATTTCTATGTTGCTTCATTTCCCCAAAATCTTTAGTGGAGACAGGTGATAATTTGGAAACAACCTCTAAAAGTTTTTCAATGGTTATAAATGAATCTCTAAATTCTTCTTTTAACTTCTTAATACAAAAATCGTCCCATTCTTTTTTATCTTTACTGAATGCAGAGTTTTTCATATGAAAAATATTATCTGTATTTACTTCAAATTCTAAAGATTCTATTTCAAAGTTTCTATCATATGAATAACAATTTGTAAATACAATGATAATATTATTCAATAATGAATCAGGAATAGACCCACGAAGTCTTGTAATAACATTTTGAAGGTTAATAGTCATTCTTGGAACGGAGCCATTGATAACAATTAAAACTGCTGATAGATTTAAACAATTTTCGGCAGAGTCCATAATTTTACCAATGTTTATGTCATCTTGTTTAATACCACGTGTATCAGATAAACCTGGTGTATCAATGAAAACAAAAGTTTTTGAATCTTTTTTAAAAGAATAGATATTACAACTATCAGTTTGACTCTTTGTTCTATCATTAGAATCATTTTCATTTGATTTGAAATTTTCTGTTGCATCAAAAAACTTGGTTTTAATTGCAACTTTGATATTGTCTGGAATTTTTCCACCCAAAAAATAATTTGTTATGGTATTGATCAATGTTGATTTACCACACCCAGTTTCTCCAATTACCAATATAGAAAAAGTATTTGACATTGTTAGAAAGAAATTTTATTTTTATTATTATTATGTTAAAAATGTTTTATTATTATAATGTTAATAATTTTTTTATTTTTTTTTATAAAATTTTTTTCCTTTGTTAAAAAAAAATTTTTAAATAAGAAAAAAAAAATATTTTTCCCCATAAAAAATATCTTTTTTAAAAAAAAAAGGAAAAATAAGTGATTAAACCTTAATTTTTTTTGTAAGATAACAAATAAAAAAAAAGATTTTTGAAAAAATGTTTTATCTAAGATCATTTGTTTTGTGTAAGCCAAATAAAAAAAAAATCCAAAAAAATTAGGAAAAAATTAGTGATTGATTTTCAAATATCTAAAAAAAAAATATTTTTACAAAATCTTATGAATTCTAAAAAAAAAATCTTGATATTTTTAAAATAATTTTTTATAAATTTCGATCAACTGCCTAATATTATTCGAGATTCTATCATATTTACTTGGCCAGAGAAAATGTGATAATTTTAATCAAATTTTTCTAATTAGAGTTGGCTAGAGATAAATTCATTTTAAGTTGGTTTAAATAAATCTGTATCCTTTTTACTATTATTATTAATTATTATTAATTATTATACCTTTTTTTTTTTTTTTATTTTTTTTTTTATAAAACTATATTTATTGACTATTAATATTATTGTTATTTGACATTTTATGTTTAAAATGATTTATTTAATATCGAATATATATATTTTAAAAAAATAAGAAATTAAATCTTTAGTTTTAATTTTAATGCTTTTTTAAATTTTTAATAAAATAAATTTTTATTGTTTTTTATTATTTAAAACCATATAGTAATTTTTTCCATCTTGTTTGAAATCTTTTCTAAAAGTAATTATTATTATAAAAGTGGATGCATTAAAAAAATAATGATATTTTAATAAAAAAAAAAAAATTTAAAATTAATTTTTTTTATTTTTTTTTTATTTTTTTATTTTTTTATTTTCTGGTTTTAGATATAGAAAAGATTTAGTGGATCCTATCCGGTAGCCAAAAAACCTTAACAACGTGACACAAGTACTGGATTTCAGTAAATCAGTTATGTCCAATTAAATAGCTGTGAGTTCAACAGTTTTCCATATGACCACCCGAGTTTCATTATTTTAATAACTGCTGCCTTTATTTAAATTTTTTTAATTAAACCCATTAAATAAAAAAAAAGATAATTCTTTTTATAAAATTTTTTTTTGACTTTATTTTGATAATGAATAGATATTAACTAGGGATGGAGAATTATAAAGGTGAACCCGGATCTGTGACCAAATGACATTAATTTGTACATAATAAAAAGGATGAAAGTGTTAATTGTTTTTGTTGATGGTATTTAATTGATAAATGATGATAGAATAAACCCATTGTTGAAAATAAACTTTATAGGAAAGAATGCAATTAATCTGAGTAAATAGATTTTAGAATTGAAATTTCGTTTTTTTCAAATTGATTAACTTGGATTTAGATTTGGAGGGCATAAAGAACTGATGAATGAATAGAGTTGGATGGATTAATTTTCTTATTTTTATATGACATGATTATTTTGATGATTATTATTCCATATTAATATTATTTACTATATTATCTTTATCCTTTTATTGATCGAATTTTGCATTATTATTTATAATATAATCTATATCCATTATATTTGTTATTTGTTTTATTATTATAATCGTTATTTGAATATGATTATTATTTATATTATTATCATTTTTATTTTCATTATTATTAAATAGAAAGTATTCTAATCTTTTTAAGTTTTAAAATTAAATATTAGTTTCTTTTATATTCAAAATTAATAATAACAATTATAAAAATATAAACTTTATAAATACCTTTAAAGTACAAATAAGCCAATGAATGATGAAAACCTGAAAACCCAATTAATAAGAATTAAGTAGACCCCAATAAATAATGGGTGACTTGAAAAAACCGAATGCTTGATAAATGACATAAAAAACCCAATTTAAAAAGAATAAACTAAACCCAATGAATGATGAACGATTTGAAAAAACCACAGCGCTTAATGAATTAAAAAAACCCACAATGTTTGATGAATTAAAAACCCACAATGATTGACGAATTAAAAACCACAGCTTTTGAATAACTTAATAAACCCACAATGTATGATGAAATATTTGAAAAACAACCCCAATGTTTAATGAATGACTCAAAAACCACAATGTATGATGAACGATTTGAAAAACAACCCCAATGTTTAATGAATGACTCGAAACCCACAATGTATGATGAAAGATTTAAAAAACAACCCCAATGTATGATGAACGATTTGAAAAAAACACAGCGTTTGAATGACTTAATAAACCGGCAATGTATGATGAAATAATTGAAAAACAACCCCAATATTTAATGAATGACTCGAAAACAACATTTAAAAAGAATAAGTTTAACCCCAATGTATGATGAATGACTTGAAAACTCCATTTAGAAAGAAAATATCGAACCCCCAATGTTTGATGAATGACTTGGTAACCCCTATTAAAAAAATACTGAACCCCAAATTTTTGATGAAAGCAGATTAAAAAGAAGATATTGAACCCCAAATGTTTGATGAGTGACCTGAAAGAAACCTCAGTGTTAAATGAATTACTTGAAAAACACAATTATAAAGAAAATACTGAGCCGCGATATAATGGAACATATGGAACCCCTAATGTATGAATAAATACTCGAAATAAATAAATCATTATTAAACCAAATATGAATTGACTCTATCTTTGTATTTTGGCTTTTCATTAATTATTTATTTTCATTTTGTGAAAATTTAATTTTCTTTTTTTTATCTATGTCTTTATCCCTTTCTTTTCTCTTTTTTTTATTTTCTTTTTCCATTTCTTTTTGTCTTTTCCTTTCTTTTTCTTTTTTTCTCTTTTCAATTTCTTTTTGTCTTTTTCTTTCCTTTTCTTTTCTTCTCTTTTCATCTTTTTCTCTTTTAAGCTTTATTATTTTTTCATTTTGGCTGTAATTTGTTAATAAAAGAGTTGGACCTTTATTATCTGTTTGATTTCTTCATTTTGCTATTTCATCAAACTCATTCCAAGCCTCATGGATCTTTTGTTTTACTCTTCTTTCAATTTCTTGTTTTGTGTCCATAAGGTTTGCTCTTTTTTTATGATTTTGTTGATGATGATGCTGATCCTGCTGATGATGTTGATATTGGTGTTGATGATGATGTTGTTGTTGTTTGTTTTTTTGATCTAATTCCTCATCAAAATTAGAAAAGGTTGTTGGAATAATTTGTGATTGTGATTGTGGGTGTGGTGTATATTGTAGTTGTAGTTGATGATCTTGATGTTGATGATGATTTTGAT